CGTCATGGCAAACGGGAGGGCGGTGTCTGGTAAATGACCTGTATTTGTCTGGCCCGCATGACTGGCACTGACTGATGTGGCACTTGGTCTGGAGTGGCATAACTGGGTTCGAAATGGGCAGACTTGCTGTTTTCGTTCGGAATGGTATTATCTGTCATATGTTCAGCGATCAGAAACCATGCAACGTGTTCATGAAATGGAAATGTGCTTCCTTCGGTATTGTCCATTGATATGGGTCTTGTGTATATATATATATATATATATATATATATATATATATATATATATATACATATATCCAAAACGCCTGAGCCGTCTCCCAGCGGCATTCAGGGATGTTGCTGTATGATTCTGTCCGCAAAGCTTCCATTTTGTACATTAAGCTGCACGCAGACAAATTTCCGGAGAAGAAAAAGTGCGATTTACGATAACACGGGACGAACGATTTGCTACAGACCGCCAACTTGCAGTGTTGCTTGTGACTTTTCGGTCCTTAATGTCGCCAAACCCTAATTCCAGTGGCGCCGGCCAGCGAAACCCCGCTATGCTGGAAATCGAACCAGACCCTCTCGACTCAAAGACAAACGCCCCGACCTCGACCGCATCCACCCGTCACCCGTCACGACCAGGGGTGGGGAGGTGACCACACCCCCTGCCCTATTCCCCGGGGGAGCGGAGGGGGCACAACGCCGCTTTGATGGACGGCGGCCGGCAGAGCGCCAATCGCTTTACGGAGACCGCGGCCATTGTCCCTCGTGATGGATACCGCCGGGGAAATGCCGCAGAAGCCCTGCCCTGGCAGCCCGCGCGGATATCGGTGTTTTATGGCGAGTTTTGCTGTGGCGGCCGAAGGGCAGCCGTCAGACTGGACGGCATTTGCCAGAGTGGGTCGGTCGGGTGTCTGGAGATTAGACTTGCTTGTTGACGCCAAATTATGACCTGAAGCGTGACCTAAGTCGTGAACTGGAGCGTGATCTGAAGCCAAAAGGGGTGACCTGAGGAGCCAAATCGTGACCTGAAGCGTGACCTTAGGCCAAAAAGGGTTGACCTGAAGCTTAGTTCTGACCTGAGGCTATGCTGCATTGCGATCAGTCGACCGCGGGATACACCAATAACACGGCATATCAACCTGCACTGGGGTACCGGAGCCGGAAAACACAACCGGCCGAACAGATGATGAGAAATACCACGGCGCAAAATATTGCGTGCGGGGGCACTCAGTACATATAAGAGAGCACGGGGCCGATGAGCGAAGCAAGATTTGATCCTGCTACATCCGTGTCCCCAGCACATTCCGTTGGACCTTGCACGTCGCCTCCTGGCCGAATTTTTATCGCGTAACTCGCCGCCACTCCGCTGCCATCCTGTGAAGTGTGACGCGTCGCTCACGTAGTCGCCCCGCCCCCTCCCCCCCCCCCCTGCCCCCGTGCTGTTTTCGCATGCGTGTCGTCGCCGACCGCAGTCGTGCCGTCGCGTCTGACCAGCGGGCAGTCGCTCCACCTCGCGGCACGACTGCAGATCAGATGGACTGCACGTCTCCACGCTTTACGTGCTAGACAGACTGCACGTCTCCACGCTTTACGTGCTAGACAGACTGCACGTCTCCACGCTTTACGTAATAGATGGACTGCACATCTCCACGTTAACATTTCAGACGGATTGCACATATCCGTCGTGCTTTCAGTTGGTTCGTTCGACCGTGTCTCCGCCTGTCGGCGTCCGCGCCTTCTTATCCACCCCCGATCGTCGGCTTCCTGTCGCATTCCGTCGGGGGGAGTCGGCCATGTCACGCGTCATTACCCGCCCCCTCCATCCGTCTCCCCGCCCCATCCGCCCCGCCCTGTCTCCGGTTCATCCATGACTGGTTCGCACGCCGATGGCATCTCAGACGCCGTGGCGCGTCCGTAGGCAGAGGCCGTGGATCTCTCTCAGCGCTAGCATAATCCTGAAGTTGAACCGTCAATATCATTTCGCTTTGCTTTTCCATTTGTGTGAGCACGAGGTGGCCGCAAGAGTCAGCGCAGAAAATTAGAGAAGTCAGCTACTCTGTACGCCACCAACCCTACCTCGGCCACTATATTGCTCGTGACGACTCTCCACCGTCAAAACCACCCTGCCTCGGGAGTGCCCCGAGTTTGACAGCTTTGTCAGACCGCGCCGGAAATGTCGCCCGATGGTTGACTGGGGGCCCGTTCGTCCGATCGTTCGTTGTCTAGGGGCCCGTTCATCCGATCGCCCGTCGACGGCCGATCAGCGATTGCAGGCTGCGACGGTCCGACGACGGTCGTCGCGCTTCGGCAGAGGCGTGTCCAGGTGGGGGGGGGGGGGGGCAGGGACGTGCCAAGGGCGCACTCAGGGATGTGGTTGGCTGGACGTCACGTCGCGGATGAACGGAAGCATGGTTTGGTCTCTTAGCAGATTCTGCATTATAAGGTTGCCCTCTCCGTGCCTTTTGCTGTGCACGCCATTGTACCACACCACCGCTAGACTAGAACAGCACAGCGGATCCATTTGCATACAAAAACATATAAAATTGAAATGCAAATGAATAATTATAGTGATATGGCTATAATAATCAATTATGATATGGTAGGATAATTATGAACACATGGGAAAACACTCACAGTTCAGACGTTTCGTTTTCCCGGGATCAACAAATTGCAAATGCAAATAGCAATCCCCTCTTACAAGTTGCTGGCTCCGCCTCTATTCGTCGGCGCCGACGCTGCCGTGCATCGGCACCGACGCCGCGATGCCTCTGACAGCGACGGACGGACGCTCGGCCGGGTCGCGCGAACACGGTCGGTGGCGTTGTTTGTACCCCGCTGCTGACACTGTCAGTCAGGTTAATCCCGTTTGGTGGGACGCGTGGTTAATTTGATCGCTCGCCGTGTTCTCTCAAAGACCTGTCAGGTTGATCGCATCAAAATCTTCTCGAAATTAATGTTGGATGAAGGGTTTTGATGCAAGCTAGGTTTTAAAGAACGGAACCTAATGCGTGCGGAACCATGGCATTTTCCCATGCTGCTGTTTTATTACACTTTTATTAAAGTGCCAAACATCATAGCGCCCGTGTTGCCAATTTTTGGAGGAGGGTCTATAGAGGTGTCACTATGGAGGCGTCTTATTTGAGGTACCACTTACCTCCCATAGGACCAATGCTAAAGCAAAAATTTGACAAGATCATTGCGGCGTAAGGAACGAACTCCTAGGAAAATAGACGGCACGAAACGGGTTGTGGTAATATTTCACAACTTTGCACGCGTTGAACTGAGACAAATGTGTTTGGGCAAGCCGTTTACATCCGGTTTGTCTACTCAACCGCTCCCATAGGATGATCCTCGCCATGCAGCCTATTCTCGAGATCCCTCCCCTCCACACACCGTTGTCCGAGCAGTGAGGTTGATGTTTTGGATGTGGCCTCCTTCCCCCGAGAGGAAGGAGGAGGGCGCTGGTGGTCAGATACAGTCGCCTGCAGTTGCTGCCTGCAGTGAAATCAGGTCGGGGAGAACGAGGTGTAGTGTTCAGGGAAAGGTTTTGTACAGTCGCCTGCAGTTGCTGCCTGCAGTTAAATCAGGTCGGGGAGAACGAGGTGTAGTGTTCAGGGAAAGGTTTTGGAGAGTCCATGTCAGGAAGATCCGACAAGCTACGACGCTTTATGGGTGTAAGCGCGATGAAGCCCGAACGTTAAGTGATTTCACGACACTGCTGCCTGTTACACTTTATTGCGGAGACTAGCAATAAGATTACCCGTTACGCTTCACTGCCGAGACTGTGGCCGCTTTATGGGCACGTGCCTATCGAAACGAACGACCCCTCCGCTTTTCGTGTTTTTTTTTTTTTACTCTGACTGCTGTTCACGTATCCCAGAAGCTTCGGATTGTTCCTGAACTGAATCCTTCGGCACGAAATCCATCGCATTTCGTCAAGGTTGCGTGATTAAAAAGGTCGGAAGTTTACCAGAGCACTCATCGCGTTTGTGGCCCAATATCTGATAAATTTTTGATTAAACGTTCGACGGGGAACAAGCAGCGATGGTTTACCGCGGTTGTGACCGATTACGGCTTTCAATTCGAGCGATCGATAAGTGGCGAGCCGGGCTGCTGGAAATCGGCTGTTACACCAGAAGCGGCGATGCATTCGAGCCCGTCATTGGCAATGCCATGCATAATTCACGGATACTTACTACGTCATCTGGCCGCACACAACATCGGACCACACACTACATCTGGCCACCCACTACATCTGACGAAACGTGAGGTGTCCAAGCTCGTCATTGGCAGTGCCATGCATAACTCACGGTTAGTCAGTACGTCATCTGGTCACACACTACATGTGGCCAGATGATTTCCTACATGCGAGGGAATAACGGGCACATATTGGTATACACAACTCTGTCAGACTTCAAAACGCGCGCACACACACCTATGTTCGTAGCGCTTCGACTTGTTTGACCGCCCTGTTTTTGTAGCGCAGGTTTTTGTTATTGTTTCCGAGCCGCCCATTTGCGGGGAAGACAAGTATCGGGGAGAGGACCCTCCGCCAAGAAACAAAGCTCCACCAGTGGACAGAGTCGGGGGTGAGAAGTCCCCGCCCGTTTCCCAGGGTGGGTGATCTTGAACAACTACGCCGCCGTGGTGGAGCTGCGTGTGTTGGTCGTGCGCGGCGAAGATGCCCTGAATGTGGACGGGTTGCGCCAGCGGGCGTGAGCTTAGAACCCAGCAGCCAGCGCTGAATGTCCCGGGAACAAAGCGGCCGGCGTAAGGGGAGGAGCGCCGTTACGAACAAAAAGCCTGCGGTGGGCAACGCCGGGCGCGTCCTCTCCTTGACAATGCTGCCTAGGGTGGGCCCGTTTACAACATGCACAGATGCATGACATGGTACCTCCCCGTCTGCGTGTTGCATCAATATGGCCGCCTGCAACAGCACTCACAATCAACGCTATCTTGCAACGGGGACGCCAACCAGCATCCAGTTGTGCTCCGTCCCATAGACCGTACCTGTTCTGCGTCTGCCGTCGTCGTCTCCGCTCCTCTACCTCCCTCCTGTCATCTGGCTCCGTGACTCTCTACCCCGCAGCCCGCTCGTGGCCGCGCACCCCTCCGGCCCCACCGCCAGTCAGACACTGTTACAGTTTCACCGCCGGCCGCCGCCACCGTATGCCGGCATCCACTCAGGTGCGCGCTGTCAACCAATCAGGGACGCCGTGAAATGGCCGCAGGCGACTCGGTCGGTCGGGTGCCGGCGTTGGTGTGGCGGCGTCTTGTAGGCGTGTAAAGTTGTGGCGCCGGATTTCGGCTTTGTAGCGGCCCGCGGCGTGATGCGGGTTGTTGTAGATGTTGATGGGTTTGCCGTTGTGGGATCTTCATGGGGTTCACCGTGCGGTTTGTTTAGGTTTAGGCT